TTGTAAGCTCCATACTAGTGAGGAAAGAAGTATTTTTACGTGAGCAATGCCCTTTTGTTAGGAAAAACTGACTAGACTAACATGAAGAAGCTCACCCTCTTCTTAATTATCACTTCCATAAAGCTAAGGCCATATTTCCAGGCCCATGGCGTATTAGTATTGACCAATTTTCCACTTAAGTAGGTGTTTAAAAAACCTGATGCCTTATGGAGATTAACGAATAGGCTGTTGAACTAAGTGAATTCGATATTGTTTACAATCCAAAAGCCTTTTTAAAAGGCTAAGCACTTACAAATTTCTTAGCAAAATTTGCCAATGGTTCGAATACAAAAATGACGATGGAAACAGCAGAGCTACCTACATAGATCTTATTTGTTGACGTTCTTTCGGTGAAATAGTTGTAGGGTTTGGAGTAGTATTAGTCAACCCAGAAGACTATAAGCTCAATTGTGAGGTAAAGTCTGGATTTAGAGCCTCCAATAATATAGCTGATTATAAGGCGTTACTAGTTAGCTTTATATAAACTAGGGAGATGCGAGTGAAGAGACTGGTGGTTAACAGTGATTCACAATTGCCGATGACTCAAGTAAATAGTAATTTCACTATAAGGGCAATAGTATGGCAGCGTACCTCAAGAAGGTTATAAATCTCCTCACATCTTTTGAAAATTTTGAGTTGGCTTAGATCCTGCGTACTGAGAACGTTCACGTTGATGCTTTATCAAAATTAGTTAGTAGCAAGGATTTAGATCTACGTAAGGTAGTACCAATTTAACACCATGCTAAACCCTCTATTCCCAAAGGATGAGAGGCCAAGTGGATTGAAGGAGCCCCATTTTGGATGTAGCTAATTATTGTCTTTCTTCAGGATCACGTCCTACCAAAAGATAGGGAAGAGGCCAACAAGCTCTCTTCTTCTTTGATGTACTAATAGAGAAGAGGCTAATTACATCCTTCACGAAGTTCATGAATGAGTTTTTGTAACCATACAGTGAGCCAAGTACTCACAAATGAGATATTAAGACAAGGATATTATTGTCTAACTTTGAAAAAGAATGCACTTCAATTCGTGAGGAAATGCAACAATTGTCAATGTTTCTCCACCATCCAAAGGTAATCCTCTCAAGAATTACCTGATGTTTCGAGCCTTGGCCATTTTCCAAATGAGAGATTGGTAGTGCTAGCTAAGTTATTGTCGCTATTGATTACTTCTCCAAGTAGGTCAAAGTTGAACCCCTGGCAAAAATCAATGAGGCTAATACTTCCAGGTTTATCTGGAAGAACATCATCTGTCGGTTCGAGATTCTCCATTTGCTTGTATTGTATAATGGAAGACAAATTAACAACAAGAAGGTTAGGGACTTGTGTAAAGAATTGGGAATTAAAAATACTTCTTATCACCCTCAGGCAAACGATTAAGTGGAAGTAGTCAACAAAATTGTCGAGCATGCCTTGAAAAAGAAGCTTGATGCGTTAAAAGGGGCTTGAATGGATGAGCTTTCCTAGGTATTATGGGAAATTCATACCACATGTCCAATTACAATAAGAGAGAGCCCCTTTTCTATGGCTTATGGGATTGAGGCCATGAGCCCTATTGAAGTAGGACTACATTCACATAGTCACCTTTATTTTATTGAGATATCTAGTAACAAGTTGAGGAGGTGTGAATTGGACTTCGTTAAACAAATGAGAGACAATTCCCAAATGAAGCTCACATCCTGCGAAAGGGAAATGGCCCGATACTGCAACGTGAAGGTAAAGAAGATGTTATTTTCTAATGGAAGGCCTTGTATTAAGGAGGGTTTTTCTATCTTCTAAAGATCAAGCATGGGAACATTAGGTTCCAATTGGAAAGGCCCCTACGCTATATTAGGAGAGCTAAAACTTGACACCTATAGGATTGAAGATTTGGATGGAAAAGCACAGCCCCATCCTTCGAGTATTGAACATTTTTGAATGTATCACCAGTAGGCATAACCTATATATATTGTCGGATGACCTTTCTCAACTTATGTAATTATTTTATCAATAAAGGTGCTACTTCCGCATCTATAAATGGATTCTTACTTGAATCCCTTCCATGGACGGACTAAACATTATGGAAGAAGTCTTTGTGCAAATGGACCAGTCCCTTACAAAGAACAATACCCACCTTGAAAAGAAAGATATGAAGCACCCTTATAGGGCCAACCTTGAAATCTACGAGCCAAATCCCTTCCATGGATTGACCAAATATCATGGAAGAGTTTTTGTATCAAAGAGTTACCCCTTGCAAAGAAAAACACCCATCTCAAAAGAAAAAGTATGAAGTACTTTTCTAGGGCTAACCTTGAAACCTATGAGGTGAATCCCTTCCACGGATGGACCAAACATCATGGAAGAAGTCTTTACACAGAAGAGTCATCCCCTTGAAAAGAAATTAAAAATGATCATATGAAAGATCTTTAATAGTTGAGGTCACTTGATTTTTAATTCTCACGACTCTCATAAATGAGCTAACGAGAACATGAAGGCGTTGTTATTTATGAGAAATGTCAGATTATGTATCAATGATGAACTCTTCAAAATAAGAAATATTTTTTCATGTAACTTTTGGCGAGCCCGTATGAAGATAATTTGGGAAATGGCCCGTTTTAAGTATATGTGCCACGTGTTTTCCACAACGTGATTTATACCACAAGCGTCTGATGTCAAGTCAAGTTTTGTAATATAGCAATAGAGTTAGAGTGTCAAACCCACAGGGATTGTAATTCAATTTCTACCAAGTACTATAGTTATGTAGCTTCCACTTTATCTAGATGAATGAAATTTGGAACCAACGGCTTAAACTAAATTAATATAATGAACGAGGTGACAAATTCAACAAATAAATGCAAGTTATAAGAATAATCAAGATGTAAAGCCTAGGATTGTGATTTCACCTCACTATCAAATATGATTTTCAAAAGTTTAGTTAAGAACCCAAATGTAATTCTACCCACTCTCTTGAGTGACACCTAGAAATTAATCCTAAAAAATTAATTCCAATAGCTTTATTCCGAATTAAAATAAAAAATTTATCGAAGTCCTGGTTCTTTTATGGAATAAGCTTCATAGATCCTACACTTTCTCTCAAAACCCATAAAATCTATGTTGTGTCAATCTTATGATCGTGCCTAAATTCCCCTTTCTCAAGTGCTGGAATTGACTAGCATGTACTCATTCAATTTGTGGCTAAATAATTGAAAGCATTAAAATCATAACACAAATAAACACATATGGAAAATCAAGTAGAAATAGCTAAAATTAATCAATTCATATTCTCAAGTTTTGGTTACAATCAAACCCTAGATTAAAATGTTTAGTTCATGATGGAAGAATTAAATCTAAACACATTGATGATTAACATAAAGAGAAAAAGAAAGAAAAACTATTTTAAAGCTTTTAATTGGAATTCTCCTAGATGTTCTTTATGCCTCCTTGTTTGATTCCTTGATGTTAGTCTCCTTACCTTTGATGAATTATGTGTTGAATTGTCTTCAATCTTGCCCCCTTCAATTGTTTTAGAAAATAGATCTTTTGAATGGTATTTATAGTATCATGAAGTTCTTGGACGAATTAGGGTTGAGATGGGCCAAGAAAAAAGTAAGAAAATATGAAAAACACCCTTTTCCGATAGAGCTGGTGCCTCGGCTCCCAATATGTGCCCCTTAATGCCGAGCATTCTGGTCATTTTCAGTATGGTGGGTGTTGCGGTGCCCGATTCGGGTAAAAATCCAGATTGCACATCATTCGGTATTGTTATCATAACTTTCACCACCAATGTCCGATTAAAGTGATTCAAAGCTTGTTAGAAAGCTAACCAAAGGACTACAACTTTGCTTCAGACATCATTCTCCAATTCAATCGTTTGTTATGTCAAAAGTGGGTCTCAATGTGAGATTAAAACTCCAAAGCATAACTTTTCGGTTGGAAATTTATTTGTGGCCATATTTTTACTAAATTTGATCCCTTTGATATCTTTCTTAATCCATTTGACTCATAGCACTCTCGGATCTTCATTACAAGGTTCGACACAACTTTTTGATTATTTTAATTTTAATCCCCAACCTTTGGATCTCTTACAATTTAGTCCTTTCTCCGATTTTGCCAACTTTTGCTTAATTCCTCCCATTTTATCAATCTGTATCACAACATCAAAACGCACATTAAAATATACTAAAACACTCTCAAAGATAACAAAATAATGAGTTAAGTGGCATAAATATCAAGAGTGCGGAGCACTCATCAATATGTATATTAGATGAAGTTATTCTAAGAATATCTTAAGTCATTTCGTCGTTTTATTTTGAAAAATCAGTACATATTTCTACTTATTAACCAATTCAAATTATTAAGTCAGTTAAGATTCAAGTATTAGAATATCAATTGAAGCATCGACACTTGTACAAATTGAGAAAAGTAAAACAGTTGATAGAAAAAAAAATTCTTTATATACATAAAAAGCAAGTTAATTAAAGTTAAAATGCATACGAGGCTAAGACAAAGTAGAAAAAAGCCTAAATCTATGAAGCGGCATCATCATGCAAAGGCTACATTCGGCCCTTCTCCAAATCTTCAATAGCATCATTGTTAATGTGATGTCACTTTTGCTGTCCACACTTTCTTTGTATTGCTTATGTATTAGTTTAATTATAATGTCAATCATAATAGCTTCTTAGACTATCAAATGGTGGTAGTAGTTGGTAAGAAGTGGTTGGCCAAAGCATGGTGACAATATCCTTTTGTATCTTATAAAATATATGATGTGTAATGAAAGATATACTTTGGTCCTGCCTCTTTTTGCCTCTGTAATTTCAGTTTCTTCTTCCTCTTTGTATCAAGTAATGTACAACAGTGGTATCAGAGCAAAAGGATCTTAGAGAAAGGCAAGGTTGTAAGACAGAAAAAGAGAGAAAACAAGTGAGGAAGCTTCTACCAAAACCTTCACCATATCAGCCGAAAAAATTAGACCTGAGAGGGATGGCTTCAAGTGGTTTTTCAGCTCCATTACCATCTGTGTTTACAGGAGAAAATTATGACTTTTGGGCAGCAAAGATGAAGGCATACCTGAGAGCATATGACCTGTGGGAAATCACAGAAACAGGTATTGAACCACTACCTTTAAGGGCAAATCCTACCATAGCTCAGTTGAAGCAACATAGTGAGGAGGTAGCAAAGAAATTCAAGGCTTTGTCTTGCATCCAATCTGCAGTTTCTGATGCGATTTTCACCAGAATAATAACTTGTGAGACAGCCAAGGAAGCTTGGGACAGATTACAAGAAGAGTTCAGGGGAAATGCAAGAACAAGGCAGATGCAGGTTTTAAACTTAAGAAGGGAGTATGAAACCTTGAAGATGAAGGACTCAGAAGCTGTTAAAGAATATGCTGACAGGTTGATGAAGGTGGTAAATAAAATAAGGCTTTTGGGAGATGACTTACCTGACAGGAGGATTGTAGAGAAAGTTTTGATCAGCTTGCCAGAAAAATTTGAGGCAAAGATCTCCTCACTTGAAGATTCTAGAGATCTGTCTTCTATAACTTTATCAGAGTTGGTTAATGCCTTGCAAGCTACTGAGCAAAGAAGACTATTAAGGCAGGAAGAACAGGTTGAAGGTGCCTTATTTGTCAAAGGAAAATATAAAGCTCAAACAAGTTATGGAGTGAAGAAGCAACCACGTGAAAAAAAGAAGGTCGAAATCAAATATAATTCTCAATTATATAATTATTTATAATCAATTTTCCAAAGTTTATTAGCAAGAACTCAATCTTATTTCTATTCTCTCTCTAGAGTAGCGGCTAGAAATTAATCCTAGATTTCAATTCCAATATGTCTATTCCGAATTAAAACCAAGAATTTATTAAATTAGTGGTTTTTTATGGTGTAAGCTTCATAGATTCTATACTTTCTCTTGAAACCCATAAAATCTACATTTGTCTATCTTATGATCGTGCCTAAATTTTCCTCTCAAGTGTTGAATATTAACATCTACTCATTCAATTAGTGGTCAATTAATTGAAAGCATTAAAATCATAACACAAATAAACACATATGGAAAATCAAGTAGAAATAGCTAAAATTAATCAATTCATATTCTCAAGTTTTGGTTACAATCAAACCCTAGATTAAAATGTTTAGTTCATGATGGAAGAATTAAATCTAAACACATTGATGATTAACATAAAGAGAAAAAGAAAGAAAAACTATTTTAAAGCTTTTAATTGGAATTCTCCTAGATGTTCTTTATGCCTCCTTGTTTGATTCCTTGATGTTAGTCTCCTTACCTTTGATGAATTATGTGTTGAATTGTCTTCAATCTTGCCCCCTTCAATTGTTTTAGAAAATAGATCTTTTGAATGGTATTTATAGTATCATGAAGTTCTTGGACGAATTAGGGTTGAGATGGGCCAAGAAAAAAGTAAGAAAATATGAAAAACACCCTTTTCCGATAGAGCTGGTGCCTCGGCTCCCAATATGTGCCCCTTAATGCCGAGCATTCTGGTCATTTTCAGTATGGTGGGTGTTGCGGTGCCCGATTCGGGTAAAAATCCAGATTGCACATCATTCGATCTTTTGAATGGTATTTATAGTATCATGAAGTTCTTGGACGAATTAGGGTTGAGATGGGCCAAGAAAAAAGTAAGAAAATATGAAAAACACCCTTTTCCGATAGAGCTGGTGCCTCGGCTCCCAATATGTGCCCCTTAATGCCGAGCATTCTGGTCATTTTCAGTATGGTGGGTGTTGCGGTGCCCGATTCGGGTAAAAATCCAGATTGCACATCATTCGGTATTGTTATCATAACTTTCACCACCAATGTCCGATTAAAGTGATTCAAAGCTTGTTAGAAAGCTAACCAAAGGACTACAACTTTGCTTCAGACATCATTCTCCAATTCAATCGTTTGTTATGTCAAAAGTGGGTCTCAATGTGAGATTAAAACTCCAAAGCATAACTTTTCGGTTGGAAATTTATTTGTGGCCATATTTTTACTAAATTTGATCCCTTTGATATCTTTCTTAATCCATTTGACTCATAGCACTCTCGGATCTTCATTACGAGGTTCGACACAACTTTTTGATTATTTTAATTTTAATCCCCAACCTTTGGATCTCTTACAATTTAGTCCTTTCTCCGATTTTGCCAACTTTTGCTTAATTCCTCCCATTTTATCAATCTGTATCACAACATCAAAACGCACATTAAAATATACTAAAACACTCTCAAAGATAACAAAATAATGAGTTAAGTGGCATAAATATCAAGAGTGCGGAGCACTCATCAATATGTATATTAGATGAAGTTATTCTAAGAATATCTTAAGTCATTTCGTCGTTTTATTTTGAAAAATCAGTACATATTGCTACTTATTAACCAATTCAAATTATTAAGTCAGTTAAGATTCAAGTATTAGAATATCAATTGAAGCATCGACACTTGTACAAATTGAGAAAAGTAAAACAGTTGATAGAAAAAAAAATTCTTTATATACATAAAAAGCAAGTTAATTAAAGTTAAAATGCATACGACGCTAAGACAAAGTAGAAAAAAGCCTAAATCTATGAAGCGGCATCATCATGCAAAGGCTACATTCGGCCCTTCTCCAAATCTTCAATAGCATCATTGTTAATGTGATGTCACTTTTGCTGTCCACACTTTCTTTGTATTGCTTATGTATTAGTTTAATTATAATGTCAATCATAATAGCTTCTTAGACTATCAAATGGTGGTAGTAGTTGGTAAGAAGTGGTTGGCCAAAGCATGGTGACAATATCCTTTTGTATCTTATAAAATATATGATGTGTAATGAAAGATATACTTTGGTCCTGCCTCTTTTTGCCTCTGTAATTTCAGTTTCTTCTTCCTCTTTGTATCAAGTAATGTACAACAGTGGTATCAGAGCAAAAGGATCTTAGAGAAAGGCAAGGTTGTAAGACAGAAAAAGAGAGAAAACAAGTGAGGAAGCTTCTACCAAAACCTTCACCATATCAGCCGAAAAAATTAGACCTGAGAGGGATGGCCATCATCTACAGGGTGTGGATAGCTCTATTGGGAGAAACACCACTCTTATGGCAGCCAAGTCCACTTAGGGATGTAGCTGAGCTAATCTTTTGAACACCTCATCGTATGCGACTTTCCTCCAATATAAACCGAGGTCACATACTGAACCATTTCATGGAAATGCTCCAAGTACTTGTCCACAATTACCTACCTTGCCCCACTCAACTATTACTTCAGACATGTAACCTCAATAGTCAGTTCACTACTTAGGACTTTAACTCCTTTTACATGTTTTCCACCTCTAAGGCAGATGAAACTATTTTCTATACGTTGTTAAAGTTTTCAACTTGCTTCATCAAACCATTCACCTTAACTTTTACAAAGATGGGCCTCCTTCTCATCTCTTTATTTTCATTTATAAGGAGTCCAATCCACAATTTCGCCTTAGTATGCTTCACCTTGAATGCTTCAATCACTTCATCAATAGTAGAGTCCCAAGCCATCAGTCTTTTAGCTTTAGCCTTAGCATCATCTACCTACTGCAAAAATTATTTATTAAGCCCCTACAGTCTCTTTACGTCCATTTGGGCATTGAGAAAGAAGCCTTGAGAGTGAGCCTACAAGACGAGGCTAGCTTTAACCATATCAACCGACTCACAGGTCTTGACATACGAAGAATGTTTAATAGTCCAATACTTATGATGAATTCTCATAGCCGCCTGGACCTCGGTAGGTAGCATCTCCAAATAGACGAGGCTCCTTCATTAAACTATTCCTCCAAAAAGTTTACAGCTTTCCCTTTAAAATCCTTCCCTTATTGACTTTTTTTTCCTCTCTCTCTTAATTGGGCCACTTTTCTCTTCAGCTTGATCCTCCGTATCTATTATCTTGACGGAAAAGATGAATACTTTAGAAGAGGAGGCGATTTATTGGAGTTGGTCGACTCTTCTAAGTCATCTCTCTTGAAGCACATCTTTTTCTTTACCCTTTTTATAGGAATTGATGCGAGTTTAGCTTCGATAAATGGGACAATTCGTCCCTTTGATGCTTACAGGAGGAGATAATTGTGCTCATGGTTTTTTCTTTTTAGCCTCCTCAAGGCGCCTCATGAAGAACATGTCCGACTTAACATATTCCTTTTATTATGTTACTCCGCAAGAAAGGAGTCGAAGAGTTAACACTTTAATTTACAAGTAGAAAAACTTATGATTCCAAAGCTGTCTGCCCTTGGTGGCCATCAGGGTATGTATAACAAAGAGCGGTCACTTAACAACTACATTTATAAAAGACCACTCCTCAATGTGGAGCTCTTAGATGCTCTGACAATGGCCAACTGAGACGGTTCAAGCTTGAATTGATCGATTGGGCTGCATAAAAACCAAGTCAATGAAATGGCTTACCAAAAGACAGTAAATAGAGAATCTTGTTAAATAGAAACTGGCTATACTCATGGTATTAGGTCGATACCAGTATTTCTGTGACCGCATCACCTTCATTGTCTGCCAATGACCCTTTAGCCCGAACTAAGATGACTTCTCGATCTTTATTGAGGTTGGATTATCACAGATGAAGAGCGAATACAGGCCCTATAGGTCTATGCAAACCATCCCTTAAAATCCTCCCCACCACTAGAGGCTCGGTGTTGGAAAAGGCTCTAAAGGACGTGAAAATGCATAGGTCACTTTCGAGAGAAGAAAGGCCCCTGCCAATTGGCCCCACAAATTTTAGAGAAGTTAGGTAGGGGCCAGGTTGTATGCCTAAGTATGTATCTAAAGAATGGATACAAGGGAAAACTCATCCCAGCACTTATATTGCCTTGCTCACAACAACACACCCTTCCCTAAGGAACCAGACTTGTTTTTTAGGAAGAACAACTCAACTGTATTCGGGATCCTATAGCGCTCTCTAAAGCTCTTTAATTCACTCTCCTTTATACTATAAAATATAGGACTCTCCTTTACTATACATGCACTATAGACCCCTATTGCCTCCATAATCCTCTTAGTGAAAATTAATTGAGCAAACCAGTTCAGCGTATATCACCACCATATGACTCTCTATGAAGACCTCCTCTTGGTGTTTGGTTTTGAAGAAAAGGCTATTTGATAAGTTTTTAGGTCAATAAACGGAACGAGAAAAGGGTCGATGCTTACATGAATGTCAAACAACATTGAAAGAGAGGTCGAAATCCTGATTGCTCGTTGGAAAAGTTTCAAAGATTGTCGAAGAAATTCAAATGATCCTCTGAGTATTTGAGGATCTTTTGCAAAGTAAAAGAGATATCAAGTGGCTAAGTCTCTCCTTCTATAGGCAAAACAGGCGAAGCTCAACCATTGGATGAGCTTCACTAAAATCTTAGATGTATATTTGTACTCCTCATCTGAAATGTTAAAACTAAAAGGCGCCTATTAAAATTTGAATGAATGATCCAGATTATTCTATTCCTAGCAAGTGCCTACAGATGTGTTCGCCTTCGCCTCTGCCAATTGTAATAGATCATCTTCAATTCGTAGTTAATGCGCATGTAACATTGTCTCAAAAATGGAAATTACTTCGCTGCAATATTTTAGAAACTAGAAAGGTATTCAAATCATTGCAACATGCATCCCATCAATGTCTACACCATCAATAGGCTAGCCCTGTTATCAAAGGCCTCACCTTCATGAATTTCAACTTTAACACAAGTTTCAACACCATCAACGGGCTTGTCTTCTTAGCAGGGGCCTCGCATTGGCCTTAACATAGGCTTCAACACATCAACAGGTTCGCCCTCTTGACAAGAGCCTCGCTTCATGCATTTTAGCCTGAACAGAGGCTTCAACACCATCAACAGGCTCCCCCTCTTAGCAAAAGGCCTTGCCTTCATGTATTTTAACCTTAACACAAGCTTCAACACCATCAATGGGTTGACACTCTTGAAAAGGGCCTCGCCTTCATGCATTTCAACCTTAACACAGGCTTCAATACCATCAATAGACTCTCCCTCTTTGCAAGAGTCTCGCCTTCATACATTTCAGTCTTAACACAGGTTTCAACACCATCAACAGGCTCACCCACTTAGAAAAGACCTCGGTTTCATGCATTTCATCATTAACATAGGCTTACCCTCTTAACAAGAGCTTTCATGTATCTCAGCCTTCAACTAGGTTTGCAAATGTTGTGACTTCTTCATCACGTAGCATAACATAGTCCAACAACTACATATCGTCTTGAAAGTCCACGTATTATATGAATATTCATACTCAAAATTTGGAGACAAATGATCTGAATAAAGAACACCTCACTCCAGCTGTTGCACCTCTACTTAAAAGTCCACAGATTATATGATTAACCATATGGGGACTTCAAGGGCTATTGTTCCGTTTGGCATAATAAGGCGCTGGTGGATCCTACATAGCAGGTGAACCTAGGCCCACATCCTATGTCACTCTGCCTAAAAGGCAATTTGGCTTAATTCTTTGAAGAGGTGTGGAACCTATATAGGATACCAAACCCATCAAATTGAGTTGACCCCATATAAAAGTGTCTAACTCTCATTCATGATATACACTGCAAAGGGGACCTAGTAGGAGATCTTCTATACAATAATTGGTATATGAATTGTATGACAATTCAATGTTTATGATTGATTGATACCTTCGACGAGTGGCCTTATCACACAAATGAGGCCACATGTACTTTCATCATATTGCCGACATTCATCCTACTCCACTACAAAGCTAACATAATGTACCATTCCAAAGGTAATGTAAGTTTAGAATCTCAAACTACAAATTTGTTATCCTTACTATTATTAGAAGCTCAAGATGAATTTTTACGTACGAAAAAAAAATTATTTCTTAAGAATGCTTGCATAAAAATTATTTAAACTTTTTCACTAGTTATCTCGAAAAATAAAGTAAAAATGTCCTTCAAAAGTCAAAATTTTTCAAAACAATCAAAGAAGGAAAAATTTGATAAAACTCTATCCAATAGGGTGTCCGGTTCATCCAACAGTCAAATTTTTAACCGCTCTAAACTTCTAATTCACAACGGGTAGTTTAGTATCCGGTTCAAAAGAGAACGTCCAATTGAGCCGTTCGATTGATCAGAACTTTTGGCATTTTAATTGCTATAAATATCGCTTCACTTTACATTCAATACAACACTTTAGGCAGCATTAAAATGAGATAATGTGGAGCCAAATTATTGAATACACACCTCATTCATTATCAAATCATTTATTTATTTAAAAAATTTTGGTTGAAATAACTTTTGGAAATCATTCTTCTCATCAAAGTTTTTCTTACCTACCACTTGAGCTTCATTCATTGCTAATTATTGAAGTGTTAGCATATCTCTCTCTCTGTAATTAATTTTGATTATATCATTTATTAAAAGAGAAGTTCAAATTGTAAACTCATTACTGTCTGAATTTATGGGTCATATAGAGGCCTCGTAAAACTCTACATTGTATAAAGATCGGTCCACTTTGTTTGTAAGTTATCAAAAGTGTTGGAAAGTGTTAGATTGCACTATAAGTCAATCAATATAGTGAAAAAGGTCTTGCTTGTGATGGAAAGCTTGGTAACGGAGGAGGACATAGATCATTGGTTGGGGATCAAACCTCCACAATTACATCGTTTGTACATTTTCTTCTCTTTTACTTATTTCTTTCATATTTGTGCATATTTGTTTGATTGGCTTATTTAAATTTAGATTAATTTTCGAAAAAAGTTCTTAATAACCAATTCACCCCCCTCTTGGTTAGCTATTTTTGAGATGTCAAAAAGCGCGTTGCAATGGTAATGGAATGGTGCTGCATGCATGCATTGCAATGGTAATGTTCATATTGTTGCCATAGTAATGTTATTTTGTTGCTGAGCTGTATTATTATTACTTTGTCGCTACATTTGTATCCGAATAGTCCCCTGAGTCCTTGCCTACTCTTTTATGACTTTGTAAAATGCCTTCGTACCTCGCAAAAGACGCATTTTAGTGAAGTGAGTGATAGCAATCATTGCGTAACTAGGTAAAACGAGTATCCAGTAGCAACGAGAAATAATCATCCTTCCTTTTTCCTTTCATGGAGACAGTGAATCTTTCTTTCTATTCCTTTCGTAGAGACAAGGAAT